ATGCTTCCTCCTAATATACCCTTTCAGGGTAATTTACCATTAAAGACCCTAAGACTTTAGCCAAACCAACACTCATTTCTTTCAGAATGGGGGAGCATTTATCCTTGTAGTAAATCTAACAGAATGGTACATGTCCTACACATGTGCTCACCTGCGTGTTCAGTAATATTTCTCTTAACTAGTACATGCTGTGCTGCCGTCACCTGGTTCATATCTTTGGATGCTGCCACAACCCGGTCCGTATCTCAAGCTACAATCTTCCTAATTTAGTTTTCTGTTACTTACTTTTGCCCTTGCAAGATTCACAAAAACCCTGATACCCACTTTCGAACCTTCTTCTTTCATATATGTATATATATATATATAAAATTACTTACAAATTTAAACAAATTATTAAAAAATAACTAAATAATATATAAAGAAATTTATTGTACAATAAATATATAAAAAATTTTTAACTAAGTTTCTGGTTTAAATTAATTATAGATAAGCTGCTGGTTTTGCAAAACTACAGCAAAGAAAATCAGAGATTTATATCGAAGCTAACTGCAAGGTGTGTAGTAGTGAAGCTAAAGAAATACTAGATTATATATAAAAATATGAAGCACAAGAACCCAACTAGAAGCAGTTGCAACAAAGATAGTTTAAAACAAACTATTGCAAAGACAAAAAGTAATTTAAGTCTAAACGGTTTTAGAAAGATTTTAATTAATTATAGCAAAGAAGAAAAGACACAAGCTAAAGAAAGTCTAATAAAAGGGTTATATAGAGAAGAAACATACAAGAAATTAAAAGATGTAATAAAATTAAAAAATATAGTAGATAAGTATTTAAAAAATATTTTCTATATTTTTAGAAATGATTGTTATGATTTTATATAAAAAGAGAAGATAAAGAAAACAATCAAAATAAAGAGTAACTATAAAGAAAGAAAAAACAAAAACCTAAACATATGACTTTAAAATAACTATAGCAAAAAAAGATAAAAAAAAACAAGTAAGGCCCAAACAGAGCTAAACAATATAATAAAAAAAAAATAAAGAAAGTGTACTATTATAACCTGTACAAGGCTTAAAAAATTATATAACAAATGCAATATCTATTATCTCTTAAACTATCAGGTTTAGCATATAAGTTTGTATACTAAAATATTTTAAAGAAAATTAAGCTTGAAAAAAAAAATTTTTTTATAAACCTTTTATTCTAATTGTTTGTAGAGATTCTTTAAAACCTAAGTTATATAGTACACTTGCAGCTATAGTGTGAAATACTCTATATAACCTGATAAATTTACATAATGGCTAAAAAATAGACTATTTTATCCATAATTTTGAGCTATTGTTTCTTTTTAACATTATCTCAAAAATCAATTATATAAAGTTGGTTATAAAATATCTTTGATTAACTTTAAAGTTATATTATAAAAGAGATCTCTGCGTAGAAATGTAAAAAATCTTTATAAGTGTTATATAAAAGTGCTTTTTTTAGTATTAAATTTGGGTATAAAGATCCTATTACAGTTAATACTAAATAACTAATTTTTAGAGTATTGATAAAAAAATTTTTAAAATAAGAATTATATAGTAATTAGAATATGACATATTTTTGTTTTAGCTTAGAAAATAGGGGTGTATGGCTTAATAAAATTTGGAGTAAATACACAAAAACAAATCAAAAATTTTTTTAGCATACAAATTTGTATGCTAGACAGTTTAAGAAATAAGAATTTATCTTAATATATTAGTTTCTTTCTGATTATATGATCAAATTCAGATAAATCTTTAACCAAAAACTAGTCAATAGTGACTTATTTAATGCTTCAAAAAAAAATGAATGATCTTTAGTTGCTTAATAATCGTTATCCACATATTTCGTATATTAATTGACCAAAAATTTTAAAGTACGTATGATCCGGAACTCCACATTTGGTAGTTACACGTGCAATCACGGAATAGATTTCATATGTTCTGTCACCTATATAAATGTCAGATTTTTTTTGATTTTTTTTTTCGTGTAGTAAATCTTAAAAGTAATCAAAAATGCAGACATCAAATGTTTGGAATTTCGGTCCAGGTCCTGCCAAAATCCCTACCTCAGTATTACAGCGAGCTCAGGCCGAACTTTTAAATTACAACAACACTGGAATGTCAATTATGGAACTATCGCACCGCTCCAAAGAATTCGAAAACTTTAATAATAAAACTCAACGTGATTTACGTACTTTACTCAATATTCCTAATAATTATAAAATTTTATTCATGCAAGGCGGCGGTAATACACAATTTGCTGCAGTAGTTTATAACTTATTGGTTGCAAAAAGACACCAATTAAGTGAAGACCTCGAGGAAGAATTCAATCCTCCACTGGATTATTTAATCACAGGTTCATGGTCATTAAAAGCAGCAGAAGAAGCAAAGAAATTATATAATAATGTTAATATAGTTTTTGACGTCAAAAAACTTAAAGGATCATATGGATCAATTCCACCAAAAGAAGAATGGAAACTTAGTGGTTCAAAAGCAGCATATGTTTATTACTGTGATAATGAAACAGTTAACGGAGTAGAATTTAATCATATACCGGAAATTGATCCTTCAGTACCATTAGTTTGTGATATGTCATCAAACATACTTTCACGCCGTTTTGATGTATCAAAGTTTGGTGTTATTTACGCAGGGGCGCAAAAAAATATTGGAGCAGCTGGTTTAACCGTTGTTATAGTTCGTGAAGATTTATTAATAAGAACCAAAAATTTCGATAACAAAAATTCTGGTATTCCTGCGATTCCCTCTATGTTAGATTACAAAGTAATGGCAGATTATAATTCGCTTTATAATACCCCACCAATGTTTTCAATATATATTTCAAGTTTAGTATTTGAATGGTTACTAGAATTAGGAGGGGTCGAGGCGATCGAAAAGACTAATTCAATTAAGGCTGAAAGGCTTTATGAAGCAATTGATAATTCGAAGATTTATAAATCACCCGTTGAAAAAAGTGTAAGATCAAGGATGAATGTACCCTTTAGAATTCAACAGGAAGAATTAGAGAGCGAATTCTTGAAAGGTTCTATCGAATTAGGAATGTTACAATTAAAAGGACATAGAAGTGTCGGAGGAATTAGAGCTAGTATTTACAACGCTTTGACTTTGGAGGGTGTTGAATTTTTAATCGAATATATGAAGGAATTTGAGAGAAAACATTGCCAATAAAAAGTTAGACACATCTTTTCAATTTGATTTTTTTTTTTTTTTGTAATGCAACTATAGAGATTAAAGTAAAAAGCAAAATCCTACTTAATAAAATTATAATTTTATTATTCACGATTTCCATAATTTGAGCAAAAATTGAAAACAAATAAATGAATTAAAATACTACGACATGGCGCAAATGTAAAATAAATTATTACACACTCAAAATCGTATAATTACGACTTCGGATCTGAAGCGCTATCACACGGAGGTGGAATAGGAGAATTTGGATCTATAGGTGGATGCACAACAGTTCCAACTTTATAATATGTATGGTGATCACGATAAAAAGAAGCCCAATTTTCAATATCCTACAAAAATTTAAAAAAATTAAATTTTGAATAATAAAATTTAAATAAAAAAAAAAAATCTTTCTAACATTGTACCTTGATTTGTTCGGGCGTTAAACCACGCAGGTCATGGGTCAGATGAGTTTGAAAGCATCCTGTGACATATGCACGAGAGGCATCTTTTCCAGCAAAGAAGGAATAACCACCACCCTATATTATAAACAATTCTTTTTTAACCAAGAATATAAAGATCCTTGACGTATGTTAAAAATTATGGGCTAATTATTAGATCGTTTTTTATTTTTTTTTTTTACCTTTCCGTAATAATTTTTTCCGCTAGTTACGTCAAATACTTCTCCGCTAAAGATTCGAGAGTAGTAAATAAATACATATGGTGTATATAATTGTTTTTAATTTTCAAGAATGTAAAAAATGTAAAGTTTCTTACTTCATGGCAATATAAATCGGTAAATTTGGATCTGATCCATCATATTTAGCCAACTCTTCTTCAGTAAATACAATTTCTCTTCGCTATTTCGAAAAGAATGAGTATAAACCTTTTTTGAAACTAAGCTTTTGAGAGAAGTACATATTAATAGATACCGGAATCCAATTCCTCCAATTTGTGTATTTATTTTTATATCCCCAAGTCCAAGTCTCGGTAACCAAATAACTAGTCAAGAAAAATGCGATTACAAAAATTACAACTCCCTGTAAAATTGTTTTAATTAAAGTGAAAGATTTACGGGATTCTTTTTGATTATTATATGAGGTATCTGTAAAGGACACGGGTGAGTCTTTAACTTTTTTTCGTTGAGTTGGTGTTGACATTTTCTCTAGAATTTTTTCCGAAAAATAAAAATATTGGTATGTGTAACTGACTGCTTTAACCCTACCGGTTACTAATGCTTTACTATTACACAATAAATTAACCGGATCGGCTTTTTATCCGAACTAAGCTTTCAAAAGTTTTTAAAGATCGACGTAATGGTTTTTTTTTGTAGACAATACCAGATACGTAAGTATTTTGCTACGTAACTGGTAACAATAGTTTTACAGTATTACTACTGTACAAAAAACGTTCCTACGCTCATATGCTCACCTGTTGAATCACATACGTCGATGCTCGGAAAGATTCTTCCTGAACTTCTTCAGTGTTCAGTGTACACCTCTTAGCGGGTTCTTTACCAGAAAACCAGACTTGATGATATCCTGCACCCCATATGCCTACATTTTCCCGTGGATCACATATGGCCGATGCTTGGAAAGACACTCTACCTGAACGTGTTTTAGCACCTGCTAAACTCCTTCAGTGTACATCTCTTTAGTGGGTCCTTTGCCAGAATATCATGTCAATGTAGTACTAAACAACCCTTTTGAAATACATCATGAAGTTTTTATAAACAGATTATAATAGATTAAATATACATTCCATCCGCTACTTTTTTACACGTTTTACAATATAGGTGTGAATGATGACTGCATTCGTCACAAACCTTCCACCCTTTAAAGATATGCCACTTTTCGATATAATTTTGTTTGTTTTTACGTGTAAGTGTGTTATTTCGATTTTTTATCTGGTTAAAATTTTTTTTATTTATTATACGTACAAACCTGTAATGTGTTTGTGACCCATTTACAAACAAATTACGCATAAGCTGGGGTTATTGATCAACATATTAAATCAAACATAGTCCCTATCAAATTCGTATAATTGAGATTTTTAAGTAATACGATTGGCTAATTTATTCTTATATTGATCATCATACATATCTGATATAAAAAAACTTTAATAACGTTAATTTTGAAAATTTTTTTTAAACGTATCTAATGCATATTTTGTACCAAAATCTTCAAAATCCTCTACATTTTCTTTTTTTCTTTATTGTTACGTTGCTGAATTTTAACAATTCCATTTATAACTTCATCTTTTGAAAAATTTATTTCAGAAAGACATAATTTGGATTCTTTTTAAATCAAGCTTGTTGAACATGCCCTCAACTTGTTGTTGATATACAACTATATAATAAATTTTGGTAGTTACAAATTCATAAAGCAGTGGATAATCAAGTAAGCCAGGATTTAATGCATCACAAAAATTATTAAATTGTTTATGAAAAATGAGATCTGAAATAAAGAATTTTTTTAATCCTGTTATAGAATAGATTTTTAGTATTAGCTTCTTGAATGTATAAATATTAGTATAATTATTATTTTATCGTATTGTT